TTTCGTTGGAGGAGTGTCCTCCTTAAACCTCGTTAATTCAATGGCAGTAGAAAACGAACCCACAAGTTTCACAGGTTGCATACGGGAAATTGTTATAAACAACAGGGAACTGAAGCTTACCGTGACTGATCCCAAAGGGGGAGCCAACATCGGTGACTGCGACGGAACAGTCTGCGGGTACGCAGTGTGCAAAAATAACGGAACGTGTCAAGTTGAAAACTCGGGCTTCTCTTGTTCTTGCCCAGCAGAGTGGACAGGGAGCACATGTGAGCAATCTATTCACTGTTCACAGAACAGGTGTGGGTCTCAAGCTCTCTGTATCCCTCAGCCTACTTCGTTTTCGTATGTCTGTGTATGCGCACTAGGCTGGTCAGGTAAGTACTGCGATAGCAAGATCAAATTTTTTACAGCTAAGTTTGTTGGCAACTCCTACATCAAATACATAGATCCTTATTATGGAAAAAGAGACCTCCAGCATAGCCGCATTTCTGTAAATTTTACTACTGGTCAAACTGAAGGCTTAATAGTATGGATGGGAAAAGGTGAAGATGAAGATAATGATTTCCTTGCCATTGGGCTTGCCAATGGAACACTCAAAGTTGTGGTTAATCTTGGAGAAAGAATCTCTGTTCCTCTGATTCATAGCAGATACTTCACCTGTTGTGATGAAAGATGGCATTTCGTTACAGTAGTTCAAAACCAAACTTGTATTAAGGTGTATCTTGATGAGGAGCTAATTCTTTTTGAAGACATTGATCCACAGAGAAGATACACTGCTTTAAACTACGGTGGCGTTTGCTATTTTGGTGGGTTTGAAATTGGCAGGAGAGTCAATATAGTCACCACAGGGCTTTTTCAGAAGGAATTTGTTGGTAAAATTAAAGATGTTGTGCTCTTCCAAGATTCTAAGAAGATTCCGCTAATGAAAGCAGAAGGGTATAATGTTTATAATGGAAATTACGGAAATTAACTGAAAAACTGTTTAAAGACTCTTTAAAAGCGATGAATTTCCTTTTCCTTGTTTCTTGTGTTAGCTGGTAGCGTAAGACTCAGGAACCCACATAAGAGAGCACTTAATAAAATTGTCCCCCATTCCTTTGGATTTTTTTAATCTTATTAATAGCATATATGAAATGCGATCAGATCTTTTACTCATAAAATTACTAATGGGGAAGTCTGCAGGTTTTTTCTTTATTGTGCTGGAAATAGTTTTGTAGACAAATGGGTAGTAAGTAGCTTATAAAGCCAACTGTCACTCCAGTGTTAATTACTCATTGCTTTGTGAGAACAGACGACTTACCTGTTTCTCCAAAACATGGACGTTTTATTAGAATGCAGAGTTTCTCTTTTATGATTTTGTAACATTAAGGGCAAGCGTAAAAGCTGAAATTGGGAGGAAAGAAAAGGTGTACTTGGGGCAAAAAGTATCTGTTGATTATAATGAGAATTTCTGAAATTCCACAAAGGTGACCAAGTTGTTCTCCTTCCCTGCTGAGTCTACCCACCACATATGCATTTAGGTAAAATGGCAGAACTTAAACCTGGCTTCACACCCAAATATTACACTTAAAGAAGAATGATTTTAAGAGCAGAGGAGGTATTTTACTTTAAAATTCAACAGATATAAAATATGCCTCCTGCTGTTTTTCTCCAGCAGACCTGTCCCCTGTTTGACTGCATGAACAGTTGTTTTAACAATTCACAAGTACAATGTGGGAACATGGCAGTCTGTCTATGAATAACCTCTATTCCCAACAGCTTAAAAACTAGAAAGTCCAGTAACTGCTTTGCTTTAGCTATGCTTTTCTGGCTTGTATGCCCCTAATTGAGATTTTGAAGTTTTTCTAGCCAAAAGGTTTTGGCCACAGTAAACTGAATTCCTGTGACTCTATTTTTCATGAATTTTTAATCTCAAAAGTAAATAGAGCTCTTAACATATAAATGCAAAACTCTCTTCCTTCCGAAAAAGCTCAGTTATGTTCTAGTTTCGTTAGCAGTAAAATAAAACAAATCGAGTTACATTCTAATGTGCTTAAACAAAAGATTTATGATGGTATCTACGTTTTTCATTCGACTGCTGGCTTACTGTACAAGTAAAATACTTAAATAAAAATAACAGTGATTGATCCCTATCTTTTCCTTTTTTACTTTACCATTGCTCAAAAACACACAATAAACCATCACCTCCTTGCAGGGAAATTCTCCAAATACAAGTCTTCAGTGGGTACCTATCAGAAACAAGTAACTATTTCTGATTTTTTTTTTTTTCCATAAAGCAGATGTGGAGCAGAGACAATAAGCACAGTAAAACCAGGTGACACCCATTACTTTCCACACAACCACGATGAATGTACTGCCAAGTCAGTTACAAGTGACCTGCAGATAACTAAGGTGGAGGGGGTGATGGAACTACCCCGAGATCTTTTAATAAGGATTTGCAAACATCTTTGTGAGGTTCTTTCTATCATCCTCAGCCGCTCTGAGCCCTCAAGTGATCAGCATGATGCAATAGAGCTTCTTCCCCTCTTCCCAACAGGCAGCTCAGGAGGCCCACTTGGCGTTCAAGCTGGCCCCAGATGCTTCTCCTCTTCCAGTTTCTCTTAGGAGGGCCTTTTATGGCCATGTGATGCTGGGGAAGGGAGAGTATTTAGGGTTTATCCGTTCTCTCTGGGGCTCCGGGTGTACTGCCAGTTCCTCATCAGCACACACTGCTTTTTGTGGCCTCAGCAGTGATTCAGAGTAAAACAAGTAACTGGAGCACTTCCAGCTAACACGACTGTTGGAAGGAGAGTGAATGGAGGCAATGGAGAAGACAACATCCTTTATTCCCGTGGCAGCAGGATTTATTCCCATTGCACTAACTCAGATTCCAGGACCAAATCCTGGAAACTGTTGCTGCTTGCTAATTTAAACTCTTAACAAAACTCTCCCTCAAAAGCTGTTTCACTGTGGCTCTCTTTGGGTTCCACATACAAGAGGTAGGTAGCAAAGCACTTGACAAACCTGGAAAATACTTACATATTCTTTCCAAACAAATTATTTCTGCTAGTTCTGGCAGAAAGCATTCCCCTCCCTGCCATACAGACAGTTGCAGTTTTCATTGCTCCCAGTTTATTTTTAGAGCACAGATGGATGTGAATGTGAAAGACTGATCACCAGTGGACTGGGAATAGATCACTTTGAACAGGCCCAAAGAAAATCTCCACAAGCAGAGCTGCTGACTTGAAACCTACTCAGAAAACCAGAACAATGCTTTGGAGCACTTCTATGCCTAAAGAACCCTGGTGTAAATATTTAAATGTCACCACACATGCATAATACTTCCAGATACAGTCTGTGGCACCATTGCTATACAGACCACTGAATTAGTCTGGAAAAGATTAAACTAATCACATCATGTCATCATGCTATAAAAGTTTAAATATTGCTTCTAGTTACTAACAAACTGATGATTTTTTTCTTTATGAATCTTCTCAACCATGAGTCTAAGAAACATTACTTAATAAAAGCCTACTGCCCCCTCCCTTTATTCAGTGTAAGATTTTTAACTGTAGTCCATTTGACCATGAAGCTACCTGCAAGGTACCCAAATGAAATTTTACCTCAAAACGTATTCATAATTAAAAGTAACACTTAGTGTGGTGTTAAACTGGAAAAGGCCTTTCTGGAAAGAGGAGGATTTTCTACAGCAAAGCGCACCTCGGGTCATGTACTCAAAGTGAAAAACAAAACACTGCAAATCAGAACAATAAACCTAAGTTTTTCTTTATATAGTGGAATATTTTTTTTGTTTCTGATAGACTCAGCAAAACGACCAGTGTATTTTAAGTAGTATAAATGCAGGAGATTTTAGTTTGTTTACTGGTTTGCCTTTTTTTTTTTTTTTTGAGGGGGGGGTGCTTTTTCTTTAGCATCAGTGGATGACAGTCGCTACAAAGTACCAATTTACTAGAATTCCCAATGGTACACACACCCTCTGCCCTTCTTCCCCCTCTTCGCCCCCCGAAACGCCAAACGACCGAGCCACAAAGTATCCAATGAATGTGGCGTTCTGTTATTCGGCCTGCTATATCCATTCAGCCTACGGTTTCACATCTATGAAATCAAACACACACGGTATGTGAGAAAGTTTTATCGTTTCAGAATCAAAATATCCCTTAAAATATTTACATTTTACAGTAAAAAGGATAGTAAAACACAAAGTAATGTACAAGCTTAGGTATTCAAGTTTTTGAAGCATGGGAAATGGTGGGAGAAATGAATTTACTACTACAAATCATATTTTCAAGAATTTAGGTTAAAATGCTTTCTCATTAAAACAAGTGCAGTTTAAAGCAATAACATTCGAGCAGCTCAGCCTTCCAATTTCTGGTCACAGACTGCTTCAGATGCTTAGGAAATACTTGAAAAACTAATGAAACACATTTGAATTATTTTATTGTACTACTGAATAATTTAAAAAAAAAAAAAAAAACAAAAACTCTTCACACCACCAAGCATATTGTATTTTGTTGTAATGTGTGTGGATTCTGAGGCTTTGCTACAGTCTTTAAAAACAGTGCAATTTAAAAAGAAAGTTATTGTATGAAATCCACCTTTAAAATTATCAGAGCATCTTAAAACAGAAGAGAGCACAAATTACCAAAGGCAGCAACTATATTGCAGACTTGACTAAAGCCAACTTTATCAGCTAAGAAAATTTCTAAGCCTTTATTGCATATTAATAAAAGAAATCTTTAAAATTTTGAATATACAGCAATGTAAAATTTTTAAAAATATTAAACTCCTACTTCTAGCGATAGTTGGTACAATGAAAAAAAAAGGATGAGTATTGGTACATCGAGTGGTACCAAAACACAGACCTGTTTCTGCAAAACACCAACACTGAATAAAAAAGATGGCACAATCCTAGCAGGCTTTTTTTTTTTATACAAAGTTTTATGACATTACTCTAACAGTTTCTTTAAATAGGATTTTAAAAGACTGCCTGCATTTTTTTTTTACCTTTTGTTTTTAGTTCTGTCACTGTGGTCCCTATGTCTCTCTCTGTTCTTTTCACCCTCTCGTTCTCTATGCTTCTCTTTGCTTTTCTCCCTCTCCTTATCTTTTTCCTGCGCCTGTTCTTCACTTTTAGGCTTCTCCGTCTTTTTTTCTGGATTTCTAGTCTCTCTGGGGCTTTTTCCATCAGCAGCCTTATCACTGTGTGGAGATCGCAATCTTTCTTTGTCTCTCTGTCCTTCCTCTCTACTTTTCCTCTCTCTCTCTTTTTCCTGGTTTCTGTCTCTGCGTCTATTTCTTTCAGAATCTTGCTCCCAGTATTTTTCGTTGTTCCACTCTTTTTCATGTCTGTCTTTCTTTTGGTGATGGGATTCACTGTAAAATCTCTGTCTATGTTGATCATTTTTTCCTCTACTGAACCCTCTCTCCAAATGCTGTTCTTGTCTGCCCCAAGGATCGCTGTGGCGTCTTTCTGGTCTCCTACTGTCTTTACCCTGAAAGAAATTTTCTGGCCCCAAAAACCTGGATTGTTTGTGAGCCACCGGTAGCCCTTGTGCAATGGGTCCAGCATAGTGTGGTGGCTGACCTGATAAATGAGCTACTGGTGGCCATGGCATCATTGGATTTTGAGGAAAGCCAAAGCCTGGAGGAGGAAGAAGTGGAGGTGGTAGGTGAGGAGGAAATCCAAACATAGGGTTGTTTTGTGGAGGGAAGTTATGAGGTGCAGGAGCCTGAAACTGGAATCCAGGTGGATTAGATTTAGGATGCTGAAAATTCTGCTGTGGAGGTCTAACAGATGAGAAGCTGCCGCTTGTAACAGGGCTTGGGACTTTGGAAATAAATTCAGAACGAGAAGAGTTTTCCGTTTCAAAATGAGATGAAGTTGCTGCTGGTCCTCTTCTAAAGGAGTTCACTGCTTCAACGTTTTGCATCAGCGCGTCTTCCTGTGAGCGTTTCGTATCTTCTGCTTGCGATGCACCTGCGTTATCTGCTTTTGCTGCAGATGAACTGTACTCCGCTTCTCCAGAAGACTGTTTATTTTCTGGTTCCATTTGATCATTTCCTGAAGCATTCTGTCGGTCTTCGTTTCTGCTGACGTCTCCTTCCTTGTTTTCCGAAGCGTTAGTCTGCTGACTTCGCCCAGCTGCCTGTCGTGGGTCTCTCTTAAGATTAATAAATGGTGGTGATTTAGAGGTATTAGCAGTGGTACCTTCAGCAGAGCCCACATTAACGTTGTTCTCATTGGGTTTTTTCCCTGAATTTGATGAGGAAGAAGAAAAGCTGGAATTTGTGGTCCTTTTAACTTCCTGTGAAGTGCTATCCTTGTCGGGTAACTGCCGCTTTGGGTCATTTTCTTTACTTTCTTCATTCTGTGACTGAGCAGATAAATTTGCTAAAAATGCTTCTGTGGAGACATCTGGAGGTTTTCCTTTAAGACTCAGCCCTGTCAAAGACCCAGCACTTCTTGCAGAACTTGAGGTCCCTAGAGCTGCTGCATCCGCAGTTACAGCCGCGTTAGTGGATTCTTGCAGATCATCCAAACCAGTCTTTGCTTCGCTAACTTCAGTCGTTACCTCAGTAACATCCATGTTTTCTTCTTTTAAGGTTGCTTGTTCATTTAGTAAGGGTATGTCTTCACTGGGACTCGCTTCTGACTTGCCGTGTTCATACACCTGCCCTGTCGTACCCAACAGGCTTTGGAGAATATCATCCACTGGCAAGGGTTTATTTGCAAGCTCCAGAGTAGAAGGCTGATTCTCCCATCCAACCAGGACTCCGGGAAGAAACCTGAGAGGCTTCGGTGGCTCATGTTTGGTACTTTCCACCAATGGTTCAGTAACTGCTGGAACATCATCTATATTAGATTGCTGAGGTTTATTTCTCTGCTTGTGTAGCACAGTTGTGAAGGAATTAAAAAAGTCATTTTCTTCTTCTTCTTCTAGTGCCAACTCATGATGAGAGACTTCAGGTTTGTTTGGCTTGCTTTTCTTCTCTGGTGGCAAGTTAGTCAAAGTACTTTCAGAAGCTTCATCCACAAAACTACTGGTAACGCTTGCAACAGCAGTAATCTGCCTCTTCATTTTCTGGCGAATTATCAATCCCAGTAATAAATTTGGTCGATGTATTTCAATCCCTGTACAAAAATTGTAACAGCAATTTATCATCTCCTTATGTTTTGGCTAAGGCAATAATTTTAACAAAAATAACCCCTATATTCTTAAAATATATTATAGAAAGCACACATTGCAAAAATATTTAATCAAAAAATGTATTTCCAACATAAAAATTATTACTTCAAACATTGCAAATTAAAATTGCTTTAGGTACTCTATCACCCACTATACCTTCCAAATACAGAATATGAGATGGTTATAGAGGACATCCAGTCACATAAGTACAGAAGTGAAACATCCTGTTAGTCTAACTCAGCTACAGTCTGGTAACAGCGGTAGCAAAGCATAAGAGAAAAAAAAAAGTAAACAGCACACTTGCAAGCACAAAGTCTCCTAATCGATTTGTGTTAGACATACTTCTCCAAAGATTTACCAAGAGTTCCTTTCCAAAATGCTTCTGTCATTGCAGGAAGGCACTGTGTTTCAAGGTATACTCTTAAACTCTCTCTTCGCTATGTATTTTGTTCTGTACAATTTAGGTTCTTGCAAAAAAATTATGAGTTGAAGCTCATCCTCTTTTCATTTCAACCCTGCCTTTCTCGAAAGACGAAATCATAGAATCATCTGGTTGGAAGAGATCTTCAAGATCGAGTCCGACCATTCACCCTGCACTGTCAGGGTCCCTAAACCATGTTGCTCAACACATGGTTTTTAAACTCCTCCAGGGATGGGGACTCCACCACCTCCCTGGGCAGCCTGCTCCAATACTTCACAACCCTCTCTGTAAAGAAATTCTTCCTGATATCTAACCTACATTTCCCCTGGCGCAACTTGAGGCCATTCCCTCTCGTCCTGTCATTCATAACATGGGAGGAGAGACCGACTCCCATCTCCCTACAACTTCCTTTCAGGTAATTGTAGAGAGCAATAAGGTCCCCCCTGAGCCTCCTCTTCTCCAGACTAAACAGTCCCAGCTCCCTCAGCCACTCCTCACAGGACAAGTTCTCTAAACCCTTTACTAGTTTTGTTGCCCTTCTCTGAACCCGCTCCAGCATCTCAACATCCTTCTTGAAGTGAGGGGCCAAAAACTGGACACAGTACTCCAAGTGTGGCCTCACCAGTGCTGAGTACATGGGGACAATCGCTTCCCTGCTCCTGCTGGCCACACTGCTTCTGATACATGCCAGGATTCCGTTGGCTTTCTTGGCTGCTTGGGCACACTGCTGGCTCATGTTCAATCGGCTGTCGACCAGCACCGCCAGGTCCTTCTCCGCTGTGCAGCTCTCCAGCCACAATTCCCCAAGCCTGTAATGCTGCAGGGGGTTCTTGTAGCCCAAGTGCAGGACCCAGCACTTGGTCTTGTTGAATTTCATACAGTTGGCCTCAGCCCATTGATCCAGTCTGTCCAGGTCCCTCTGTAGAGCCTCCCGACCCTCAGGCAGATCAACACTACCTCCCAATTTAGAGTCATCTGCCAACTTGCTGAGGGTGCTCAATCCCCTCATCCAGATCATTGATAAAGATGTTAAAGAGAACAGGCCCCAACACTGAGCCCTGCAGAACACCACTGGTGACCGGCCGCCAGCTGGATTTAACTCCATTCACCACCACTCTCTGGGCCTGACTGTCCAGCCAGTTTTTGATCCAGCAATCAGCCACAAATTTTTGTAACCAAAATAAATTGATACAAAATAACTCAGGTGTAAGCAGAACAACTGAGAGCGGTTTCAGGATCTTTTCTTCCTTGCCCACCTGTTCTTAAAAATTTCCATTGTCCTTTTTTTTAAGGAAATTTGGAACACTTGAGAAAAAAAGAATTAGTACATTCGAATAATGAAAAATACTATTTTAAAGTTACAGTACCAATTTGGAACTCGCTATGACTACTACCCATTGTTCACTTGCATCACCAAATCTACTGAGATTGTAACCTACAAAGTCACCTGGCTTAGAGGAATAATGTAGTAAACATGAAACAAAAGTTACACACAGTAATTTTTTCGACAACAATACTTTAAAGTATCAGAATAATCTTACAATGGGAAATTAACGTCTTTTCAAGGAAGCTAATGTAATATTATGGAAAACTCATGATGTGTTTGAACTGAGTATCTGGCATTTTTACATTTAATTTTCTCTTACATTTCTGCTGCAAACTTTTTAAGTAGTGTTATGATTAAGTTCCAAATTCCAAGCTGTACTTACCAGGCCCATCGAAAGGCACAAGATGATGCGGGACTTTATCTGAGGAACCTAAAGGGATGAGGTACAAATCTTTCACTTGCTTCATGTTATTGGCCGCAACACCATAGCGTTTTCTACTGCTGAAATAGGCAAACAACAACGCGTAGGATATCTGATCCTCTTCAGTTACAGGAGTAAAGCGAACTACACAGATCTCCTGTTAAAAAAAAGGAGAGAGAAAAAGATGGTTAGATACATTTTTCTATGAAATTTTAATTGTTTTAGAGACTGATTTTTGTTTAAAAGCACAGTTCAGAGAAGGAGAAAAAGAATTCTCCCCAGGAACGCAGAGAAAAACAGAGGAGACAGAAGGAGCAGTAACGGGGCCAAAAATAATTAAGGAAAACTGGAGAAAACAAATAAAAAGCGTTTACTATCAAAAAAAGTATTACAGTGCCTGACAAAAAAGCCAACATTTTATCAGTCAGCTAAATAACAAGATTTAGGGAAGCATGGCAGCTTCCAAGCAATTATTCCCCTCCCACCCTTAAGATTACTAGAAAGCTTTATTTTGTGTCCGAGATACCCATTAACACTAGGGGAAGACCAGCGTTCAAATCCCAGAATTATGACCAGCTCAGCAGTCCATGCTGGGGCTCATGCTGTTTAATGGCTTAACTAACGACCTGGAAGATGGGACAGGAGCCCCGCTGCAAAACTGAGATGACACCTAATTAGGGGCAGCGGTCAATATGCTGAAAAGCGTGGGCTGCCATTCAGAGGGACCTCAGCAGGCTGAAAAAACAGGCTGACCTTCACGGAGGTCAGCAAAAGCAAATGTAGAATCTTGCACCTTGAGATGAAGTAACCCCATGCAGCAGGACAGGCCGAGGCACTGACTGGATGGAAAGCAGCCTGGCATAAAAGGACATGGAGGTCCTGGTGGACAAGTTGAAGGTGAACCAACAATGTGTTCATGCCAAGAAGGCCAACTGCATGCTGGGTGTCAGAACCAGAGCAGCCAGCAGGCCAATGGAAATGATTATTCCATTCTACCCAGCACTTGTGAGAGAGCACTTGGAGAACATTATCTAGTTTTGGGCTCCTCAGTGCAAGGCCAACCAGCATACAGTGAGACAAGTCTAGCAGAGGACCACTGAGATGGTTTTGCATACTGTAACAGAACTGAAACTGAAGAGCAACACTTGAGACATGTGAAGTGGTGTCCAAATCTTCATGATGAGTTACTGTCTCAAAGCAATAAAAGTATTCTCAAACAGCAAATGACAAGTTAAGGTTAGATAGTAACCTTAGACAGTTAGAAAATAGTTAGATATTAAGAGAACAGTTATTAGATAGTAAGAAAATAAATGCCATCAGCTGCCATCCATCCCACTCAACATAACCATCAGTTATCCTTAAAGTGCCACTTATTTCACAAACGTTCTGGGGAAAAAAAAAAAAATATCTTTAGGGTGAATAGGATGTATACTAAACAGTAAGCCTTCAATATGTAAAATTCTTACCTTGGTCCCCGAAGCTTTGATTTTTTCTACGTACTCCCAGACAGTGTGAGGAGATATCCTGCCACCAACTTGAATACTATCCGGTAAATCCTATGAGAAAAAGACAACAGATATCCGAATCCAACATAAAAATTGTGGTAAATCCTTTATATACCATCCATTTCACATATTCAAAACATACTTAATTCTTATAGTTCTTAAATTATATTTTTAAAACATCAGCAGAAGTTATGACAGTAGAAACAAATTAATTTACATTCAAATTTTGGATGTTTAAATTAGGATTTTCAGTGAAAAGCTAATGAGCTGTACTAAATTAGTTATCACTCAATACTGCTCATTTATACCTTCTCCAGAAATACTTATTTTAGTAACATAACTGCAAACATAACTGTACTGTGCTCTGATAACACTCAAGTTATCTGTAAGATCAAACTGCTATGAGCGTCCCACACCTAGGAAGGCACGTAATAAACTTGCAGAATTTTCATCATAAAGGAAAAACATAACCAATACACGCGTGTATCATATTCATAAAACAATCCTTCAGTATTTATCCTTAAGTGACCTGCACTTCACTGAAGATTTACAGCAAAGATAATTCCATTAATAAAAGGCCTAAGTCCTTTTAATTAGAAAGCTGATGTATCCTGTGTCACTGGTGAGAAGTAACATGGAGCTTTATGAGCTCTCCAATCTTTATTTTATGCCATGGGGACAACTATTATAAGCAGTTGCATCCTTTTCCTGCCTCTCAGACACTGGAGAGAACAAACACTACATAAACTTTTGGGGTTTTTTTAGGGACTATTTAGCCTTATAATGGAATGTTAGGACCAGAATTGTCACCAGATAGGCAAAAAAAACCAACCCACCACAAACCCTGTTACACAGGTTTCTGTTGTAGAAGATGAGAAGACTTCTAGCACTGTCAAGAGAAACTACCAGTAGACATTTCTCTTCCAAAAATTGGTATTGACTTGTTTAATGCTTTGAATTCAAAACTAAGCTACAATTTTCCCACCTGTAATAATGGATGCCACCAAAGTGGTTATTTCAGTAGAAAATTTTGTCCTATCTTTCCCTGCTATTTTATACTACAGAAGATGCTCCATAATAAACAAAAACCAGTTAAAACCAGCTCTGGAAATATTGTTGCTCATCCTCAAGAAACATCTTACAGTGAGACAGACAGCAAAACATCTTAAAATACGTCTAAGAACTTGAACCTTGATGAACCACGGGTCCATGCAGGACAACTGAAGAATACTTTACTTACAAATACATAGCCTAACCCATGTCCTCCCACAAACACTTTACTCAGCACAACGATGATGCTTCACTGCCTTTCATCATTACACTATTATTAGCCTACGAGGTAAACAAGTCATTAAAGTTAATAAATGAATTTTTCATTCTTGCAGTAAATATAAATACCTCTGTTAAATACTCAAAAGAGCCAGAAACTGGATAAGCCTTAATCACAAACTTTGCCACTGAAGGCATATTGATAAAACCCTTCCAGATGAAATTCAGACGTGCCAGAAACAGACTTTCACATTCCACAGTACCAGGTGTTTCTGACCTAAAAAAAAAAACCGCAAACAAAAAGCCATTTTGTTTAGAACATGATTTATCATGCAAGATCATGCAAATCATAATATTTCTTTGTAAAAGAAATTAGGTGTCATTAAGAATTTTCTCTTTCAGTTAAGCATATTTGCGGGGCAATGAAAAGAGACAGACCATGTTTCTCACTTTTCAGTGGAGCAGGTATCTGTTACATGAAGGACCATCAGATAAGCAGCACGGTAGTTCACTGCTGTTATCTTTTGAGACTGGAGAACTTTAGTCCAAGAGTTATTAAATGCTACTGAACAGGACACACAAACACACATAGGTGCTATAGATCCAGTAAGATCTTTTTCTCCCCCTGCCACAGAGAGGCGGGGAGAAGACAACATACTACCTGCTGGCCTATCTTCACTCTGCTTTCCTAGCTCCTACGTTTTGTTGCAACAGTCTGTCCACCACCTGAATACCTGCATTCCCCTTTCCCTTGCCCCACAAGCTGGCCCTGCATCTCTTCTCACCCATGCATCACTTTCACTGCTTCTGTGGGTGCCTCTTCCCAAATTCCAACCTCATCACCTGTACAAAACAGGTTCAAATCACCTGTTCAAAAAAACCCCTCAGTTTTGTCAATAAAGCAGCAGCAAAGAATAAACTGAAAGACTTAAATAATTTCAGGAGAATGTTTCTCAGCCTGGGGGTTTCCTCATGGAAAACGTTACAGCCATATTTCAGTGTTTCCCAGCACGTTGTTATCGGAATTTTCTAGGCATGCTGTTAGCAGTTTTCAGCTAGCTGCCCAGTAGTACCAGATGTTGTGTTGTTACGGTAACACAGTAACCTATGTGTCTTTCTGTCTACACCAGAAATTACTTTTTCAAATCTTCAGTAAACTATTAAAAAAAAAAAAAAGTCCACTGTCCTTGGTAAAGGATCACATTGTCTTGATAAAGGCTGAATTGCAGCATGAACTCTGGTCAATTCTAAATAACTGGGAGTCATTTTTCTAGAAACTCCTTCCTCAAATCAGAAAAAAACAGCCTCATAAATTGTGATTCCCTCTTCAGTGGGTGGCATAGTAGAGTGTGGAAGAAAATTAAGAGAGAGTTGAGAGCAAATATGGCAAAACATCAAACAATCTGCTGTTAACTGTAACTTTTACAAAAATGAGATTTGAAACTACCCAGATGTATCAGTGTAAATGCTCTTTTCAGAGCAATTTCAAATTCCCTAGCTCTATACATGCACACACTCTCATTCAATTGCAGCACTGTACATATTACATTTCTTAATAGCAAAATACAATATGAAATCTATTTTCTGACTTATTTAATATGAACTCATGTATCTTTTTAGGCCTTGCTGCACTAGAAATCAAGGCAGTTTACTCTTCCCCACAAGACAACGCGGTAATTAGAAATTTGTAATCACAACCACATATGTAGCATTACTTATATAAACACAGAGCATCATTAACTCCAGCAGAGAACCTCATTCCTAAGGAGGTATACAACTTCAATTGCACCAATGGCTTAATGAAATGGC